AAATTTTCCATTGCGTGCACATGAAATTTTCATTATGTCCTTTACTGCTCCTTAAAAGAAAAGATCAGCTGTTGGACTTTTCTATTTATTTCATGAGCTGTGCCCACTGCCAGGCAAAATGGTTTTTAATAGGTGACCTGTAGCAGAGCAAGACATCTTTTTCTGTAATATGCTTTATAAGGTTTCGTTTTCAAACCTTTGGTTTGAAACCTATTTTCTACAGATTCTGAGTTTTTTAGCTACATGATATCCATAGATGCACAGATAACTGTAGTTCCAACAGAAATCATTTTGGCACTTTTTTCATTTTATACCTTGTAATATATACAATAACCTGAGTGATTGTTGTACTCTACAGCAAACATATATTTGTGCTTTTATTTAAAGAGGAACTCCAGAGAGTAGAAAACTTAACCCTTGCAGTGGGGCTACTCCTGCACTGTAAGGGCTAAGTGCTCATTTTCATCTACAGGCCATATAGTCAGGAACAGGCCAGAGGTCAGGGTAGGCAGTAGACAAGCATAACCAAGATAACAGCCAGAGCCCAGGGCAGGTAGCAGACACAAAAAAACAAAAACTAAGCCAAAGGTAAGTGCACAGCAAGCAACTAATATGCAGGCTAGGTAGCAGAGAGGTTAACCGGGGGATAGCAGCTAGCCTAGTAATAACATTGCTCAAGCAGCAAGCCAGAAACTGCATCGTGTTCAAATTTCCGGAAAGTTGCACCGATTGGGGATTGGGTGATTGGATGTGATGGTGTGATGGTGACTGTGTGGAGAAAGACTGTGTGGACTGTGGAGAAAGGCTGGAGCTGTGTCACTCTGATTGGCTGCAGGGTAAAAACAGAGACAGAAGGCAGAGCTGCTGCTCTAATTGGAAGTGGCCAGAAACCAGAAGGGTGCATGGCCATGTGTCATAGAAGCAGAGGTGGTAATGGATTGTGGAAGGTTAATAGTGCTGACAGTAACCCCATCTTATAAGGCCTCCCCTAGTGAGTGAGATCGGGTATAAAAGGGAATTTCTGATGACATTTTCTTACTAGATGAGGTGTGAAGATATCAGATGCAGGAATCTACAATCTTTACTCAGGCCCAAACCCTTTCTAATCAGTAAAGTACTGGGCAGGAGTAGTGTTAGGAATAGCCCTATAGAACTTGTTGAGGAGTAATAGCTTAAGAAGTGAAACATGAAAAGAGTTAGAAATCCTGACGTTCTTAAGAATTTGAAGTTTTAAGCAGACAGGAATTATTTTGTAGATGATGGTAAAATGGTTGGTAACTTAAGTCTGATGTTTCTGGTAGAGAGCCAGACTCTCACCTGGTTGCAGCAGGTGGTTTGTATGTGTGACGATCTGCAAAGTCTTTGAACTTGTTGGTGGCTGCTTGGAGTTAGCAAAAAAAGGCTATGTAAGTAAGTAGAAATCAAGGTGGGGAGGTATATTTCCAATTCCTGATCTCTGTCTGCCTATTGGATTGAGGTTAACTGGATGAAGTTAAGTTCATGGTGAGAGGTAAATTGTACATCCTTTTTAGAGGCAATGTGAGGTAGAAACCCATGGAGGCTGAAAGTCTCACCAACAAAGATCGGAACCAATGCAGAAGCAGAAGGGAGACCAGGAACGGGAATGCAATGGGCCATCTTGGGAGTCAATCAATGACAACCCAGAGAACAGTGATAATGTGATAATAGGAATCGACATAAGGTAACATAGCCAAAAGGAGACAAGATTGAGAGAATAATGTTACTGGGTCTAATTCTAGGCCTTATTTGTATTTGACCAAATAATTTCCCAGCAAGCACGATTTATGAAAATTACCCTTGTTGCAGCAGTAAAGACATGGGCCCAGATGTCGCTCTTTAGCGTTTTCCCTGGGAGTGCACTTGGTTAATCCTAGCTGCATGGTTTGACTGGGTGTGAAGTCAATGGCTTCACTAAAATATACTCTCCCCGCTGCTTAGAGCTGGCATGGGACACTGCAGCTCACACCCCAGCTTTTGGTGTCTTCCCTCTGTGGAGAGCAGTGACTGTCAGTCACAGCTGCCCACGGAGATCCTATTCTCCCCTCTCTGTTCCTCCACACTCTCTGGAGGGGCAGACAGGGGAGGTTGCCAGCACAGCTGGCTCTGGCTATGGATAGGCAGAGCCATCTGTCACTTAGGCAGTCAGTTTTTGTTACAATCAAAGGAGAGAAAAAGTTATCACTGTCTAAAAAAATAGGGTACCAGTGACAGCAAAAAAGACTCATCCAATATAGCAACCCAGAACGCCCCTTTCAATATACCTGGTATCTGCTCAGTTAGTACCTTATACGTAAATAATGGCTTCAGACTTATGTCTTATGTCTTAAGAATCATCCAGCTGTACTTCTCCACATTGCAGCTCAAAGATAGTTTTGTGTTCAGTTCAACCACTAACATTGATTAAACCCAGTCAATTATTTTATTTACACAACCTCTATCTCAGTCTTCCTAGAGTCTCGGCGTGGTGGAAAACTTTCATCCTTTAATAAACCACCCCTAATCCAGATGCATTTTGCCACACATTAAGTTATATTTAAAGAAACCAGGTCATCAACCTAAAAAATGCACGTAAAAGCACAGAAAAATTAAGCATTCTAAATGTTAACTTGCAGTGTTTCGCCTTTCCATAAATTATTTTTGAGCTTGAGAGAAAATGTGACTACAACATGAAGAGTCAATTGTCTAGCACAGCCCCCACAATCCTTGTTTGGCATAGCCCAGGGGTCAGCAACCTGCGGCTCCGGAGCCACATGTGGCTCTTTCATCCCTCTGCAGCGGCTCCCTGTCCCGGTCCCGGGGCCCCTCACTGCCAACAGGCTTCTCAGCAAGGGGGGCGGGTCCTGTGACTCTCCCAGCCGCGTCCCTAGTAACAGGCGGCAGGAGAGGAGAAGTGTGTATGACATGCCCCGCCCCCTTGCAGTGCACACCGTCTGGCTGGGATGCTGGCTATGAGGCTTGGCAGGTGAGTCCGAATGAGGACCGAGGGGGTGGGGGGTGGTACGGGTAACTGAACACTGCGTCCTGTTATTTCATTTAATTAGAAAAGTGGATTTAAACAGGGAGCATTATACCATAATAATAAATTATATCACCAGCACACCAAAGTAAAATCTTCAACGAGTGGTCATTTTATTGATGTACACAAATCTTGTCATAAGGCAAAGTTTCTGGGCCGCTCAGGATCCCTTCATCAGACATGACTGATACTGTAATGTTACCTATTATAATCTGTTTCTCTCCCTCTCCATGAGTCTAGTGCGTTACTAGGCCCAGAGTCCAGTGCGTTACTAAGCCCAGAGTCCAGTGCGTTACTAAGCCCACATACACCTATATACATGCTATACATAGCATAAAGGTAAAAAGCGAAATATGCAGTGTTATCTTCATCTTAGATGTCAAAAGGGTTTTGTGGCTCCCGGTGTTTTCTTTTCTGTGGGAAACGGGTCCAAATGGCTCTTTGAGTGTTTAAGGTTGCTGACCCCTGGCATAGCCCTTTCCACTACTAGGAATATTTAATTACTGTCTGAGCTGGCCCAGCATCTCTGCCCCTCCCTTTACTTCACTCCCTAGCTGCTGGTGGAGGAGTGAAGGGGAATACTAATAAGTGTCACTTTAGTGACAGCTCTGAGTATGCTGAGACTTCTAATATCACTTTAGAGGTGGCATTGCCCAGTCTACGGATTTCAGATGTCTACACAAGCGATGCTTTTACAGGTTAATACCAAGCACATAATATGTTAAATTAACATACAGTATAGGGGTTTATTCACACAGCTGCCGAAGGCAGCTGAGTGAATAACCCAGCTGAAGTGAAGTGGCCCGAAACTACGTTTGGCTAGTCACTCCGACTCAGTATGTACTTTCAGTGTAAACTTTCAGCCGTACATTGTCTGCCTTCGGCTGCACTTCGGTCAGCCAAACATGCTCTGCATGTTCGGCTGAGCTGAAGTGCCGCAGGACTTCAACTCAGCCGATCCAACATCTGGATCGGCTGAGCCAAAGCTTCGGCAGTTCACTCGCTGCCGTGTGCCCCTATTCACATGCTGCTGAGCCGGAATCCGCACGGCTATTCTGCTCGGTACCTCTGTGGTACCAAGCAGAATATAAAATCAATAAAAATTGTTTTTTAAAAAAAGGTTGAAAAAATTAAAAAAATTGAAATAAATAGTAAAATTGAAATATAAATAAAGATTTTTTAAAAAGTAAAAAAACATTGGGTGGAGCTAGCAGTGACATCTAGCTCCGCCCATCTGTTTCCTATTGTCCGGAATCTGCTAGAGTCTTCTAGCAGGTCCTAGCCAATTAATAACAACTCCGCTGAGTTGTTATTGTTTAATGACAGTTCAGCATCATTTGGGGATGCTCATCTGTCATTACAATTGGGCAGAGCCAGCTGTGAGCTGTCATCTGCGGGTCAAAAGGCTGGTCTTCACCAAGCCATTCGCCCCGCTTCAGCTGTCACTTCGGCTCAGTCGAGCCGAAGCATATGCCTTCAGCTCGGCTGAGCCGCTCAGCCGCTTTCACCAGCTGTACGGGCTATAGTGAATAGCCCATACAGTAGCACTTCGGTTTGACTGAACCAAAGGGCTCCAGCAACCGAAGCCAGCAGAAGGATCAGCCGAAGCTACAGCTGGATCCTTCGGCTGCTTTGTGAATTACCCTTTTAATCTTATGGAAAGTTTTTTGTTGAAATTAATGTTCTCTTACAAGGGTCTTTTTAAGGCAAAATGCCTTTATATCTTCCTGTTTATGTTAAATGCGTTAAATGCACATATCATTTTATGTAAAGTTTTTGTTGTTGAAATGATTGGTCTCGTAACAGGGTCTATTTAAGGCTAAATGCTTTTATATCATCTTGTTTGTTTGGAATGCAATGAATTATCAATGTTTTCCAAGGCATTAAAAAAAAAACAAAAAAAACCCTAAATCATAGCTTATGCAGCACTACCAAGCATATCAGAAAATACATATACATTTACCTTGTCAGGTCTTACACAACGTAGAACCAGCAACTTCTGGAAATCAGTCAAAAGATCTTCCCATGGGTTTGGTAGTTCCATCTCATTAGGTTGAGAAGAATCATATATGCTTTTCCACTGTCTTATCTAAATAAGTGAAAGAAATCAAAATGTAATTATTATTTAGGAAATGCAACATAGCAACCAGCCCACTTAATAGACATCCCTGTTTAGCTATTGTGAAGAGTAATTTGCATCAATAAAGTTAGAGCTACATGCTAAACGTCTAAATTCCCCTGACACCTGTACAGAAAATGAATTTATAGCTTCCAAGATCTATGAGTAAACAAACGCCATATATACCGTACATAAGAAAATGCATTTAAAGCTCTTTTAAATTGAATACTAAATCAATGAGAAATTTATTTTGTGCTGTCAACGCAAATTAAAATCTCAAATTCTAATGTATGTGTAACCTGGGATACAAATAAAGTTAAGTGCTAGACTAAAGCAGCTTTATGTAAAGAATTATGTGACATGATTGCGAGAATATATACATAGAAGGCTCTCAGAACACAATGGAGACCTGTTATTATGTACACCATTGTTGAAAGTCTGATAATAATAGAACAACAGAGAGTTACAACAAAGTTCTACCAGAAACTATCTACCCATGTGCTGCGACTGATTACTGGACCCTCCAGCTTCTTGGTCTGCTTTGGCCCTGTATATTTATGGGCAAAGTACAGATTTTCTGAATAAACTTAGTGTTTTTTTAACGAAACTTTGCATTGCTATTCTTCTCAAGTGCAGCAACAGACTGAGAAAGAAGCATGTACATCCAAAAGACTCAACAGCCAAACACAAGCAAGTAACTTGGCATATGCAGTGCAGTGAAGAAACATTGCATTACTAGTTTTCAAGTGCAGCAACACGTTGAGACAGAAATCTCTACATCCAAAAGACCCAACACCCAAACACAAACAAAGAAATGATATGCAGTGCAGTGTAGAAAGGAACATGCAAAAACCTGTATATTTGAAGGACAATACAACTGCACAAAGCATATGACCCAAAATAGAAGGGTAAAATCTGTAGGTCAGAACTCAGTTTTCTACACCTTAAAGAAAATATATATTCTTTTAAGGACAGTAAGGTGTACATTTTGGACAGAGAGGACAACTTGTTCAAGTAGTTTGAAAGAGGTAATCTATGTGGAACTGGAACAACCATTTCTAAACAGAAATGAAGCCTTCAACATCATCTGTCATCCACATATAATGCTATTTCTAACATCTCTACCCCAGCAATTTGGCAATCCACAACTTCAGACATGTATTTTGAACAATTAACACTTGTCACAGACTTCATGGCTCCATGGTGTTGGGCTTATGTGATTAGAACAGGTGATTGGGTTAATAAAACTGAGTTACTCACATGGATATAAATGCTGGGATTTGTTCTTGACATTCATTGGAACTAAGGAAGCTACTTGCATGAGATGGGAATCTCCAACATTACAGAACTAGTCCAGTTGTATGTGACTAACTACTATTAACCAATGAAGAAATAGCTTTAGAAATGCCTCCGTGAACAGCCTCTGGTCATAGAATGCATCTGTCATCCTGGAGCATATAGTAAATATACATCAAGGGCATGTCACACATGTTCTTTTGCCTTATTTCCACATCAATTTCTCCATAACAGAATAATTTAAGAAGAAGCTTTGCTGTATATTAAACTAATTGGATGTATACTGGTTATAGCTTGTAATGTAAATAATAATATTGTATATTAATTCCTTACATTCATATTGGTAAAACTTTCTTCCCTTGTTTGCATATCATTCATGCATTCATCCCCTCTGTCAGCTGTCTCCTGTGATTTCTGCTAAAACGCCTCTGTTAATTTGCAATTTAAGCAGCTCTGCAGGCCACTAAATGCCAATTGATTTTGCAATTAATATGATGAACTCTGTTCACTGCAACAATTCTCCCCTAAAGTCCAGAACTGTAGATTAACATAGCTTACATATTTATTTTATATGACACCCTTGTATAATTAGAGAAATACAATAGCACACCGTGTTCCATTATAGTCGCCTGGATGCCACTTTTTAATAGTATTTCTCATACACAAAATGCACATAAATATTTGGGTGTTCCCTGTAGTTAGTTCAGACTGGGTACAAAATCTGTTTATGTTGTACAATTAATATACTGGATATAAAATAAGCTTTGAACCATGACAGTTTTATTTAGAACAAAATATGTACAAGATTAAAAGATTACATGACAGAGATGTAACATCCTGGTCTTATGTCTGATTAAAGCATATCTAAGCCTAAAAGCACAAATGTAATATCTTGTATAGCTATAGTTTTCTTTATCTGTCTTTTTTTCCTTTATTTTCACCTCATTATTTTGGCCAGTGATACACATCCTGCCTTAGGATTACAACCATCACCATACTGTATTTATGGAGGAGCAACTAGACTGCTCTCCTTATTTGGACTACAAACACCCCCCATCCCCATAACAGGGAGGTGAGGTGTGTCGTAGTTCATTTGTAGTTCACAGAAGATAGCTCGGAAGGCAGATAACATCGTTTGAGATTTCAGTTCACTGCACAGGAACGTACAAAGACACTCAATTTCTAGTAAGCAAAATAAGCATTTCCTGTACTAGCAGAAAATGTACACATTCTTAAAATGAAAACTAATCCAGCTACTACATCTACAAGAATTTGTAAGCTGTAATATATTGCATTGTATTTGTGGGTTTAGATATTCTTTAGGTAATTTTCACCTGATGCATATTTTTGTTAAAAGTTTCTGATTTTTAGTTTGTAAGCAAACCCGATAAGAGGCATGTACAAAATGAAATAAATAATTTTAACTTAAAGTCAACATTTGCTCTGTCCATACATGGCAAAGCAAAAGATTCATTCAACTGCCTCCTCCTCTCATTTGTACATATTTACCTTCCCTTCACACCCCTGCCACTCCATTTGACTGTGAAGCGTGAAGAGAAATACTTGGTACTTCAGGTTATGGGGAGCATGTGACTCACTCCCCTTCTTCCCACATGACAATGCTGATGCTTGGCTATTGGCCACTCAGGTACCCTACACTGTCAAACAGTGGTGCAGAGAGAGGGCCAACTTCCCTGCAGCAGAAGTGGCAGAGAAGAGAAAGTTTGTATGCACAGCAGGGGAGGGAGGCAGTAAAGGGAACCCATTGCTTTGCCCTGCATGGACAAAGCACAGGTTCACTTTAAGTCCTTGAAAGTATGTGAAAAAGGGATAGCTAAGTTGTCAATAACTGTTTAACCTAAAATGTAACAGTGGGCAGAATTTAAAGACCACAAATCCTGTTAGGTATTCAATAAATGCTACAGCAATGTATTTTTAAATAGTGTTTCAGTCTGTCTTTCTGCTAGCCTCCAGCAATCCCCTGTATATCAGCATTCAGAGAGAACGTGCAGTAATGTAAGCCAAACAGCTTAAAGTGAACCTTTTCTCAACATTAACACATAGCATCATTCTAGCTGTCCCCCATTACATGTTACAAATTAGCATTTTTTTGGGGGGGGGAAGCAAGTACGTATTTCTTCAGGTACTTGATCCCCCTTTCTCATTCCTCTCATAGGCGAGGATGACGTAGTCCTAGTCCACCCCCTCATAGCCTTCTGAGATACGCGTCACACATTACAGGAGGCTTCAGGACAGTCTACCCCAGTTGGCATATCTCGTACATGCGCAGTAGGGGTCCAGCTGTGACCAGAAACTAACAACTGGCTTCTGCATCCAAAATGACCGTGTGGAAGATCAGAAACCCTGCAAAGAATCAGGTTTGAGGAAGACAATGCAGGACTTTTTGGGCTGTAAGTATGTATTTTTTGTCAGTACTGTAAGTCAGTACTTGTAGACGGTTTTATTTATTTATTTTTTTAATTACTTGGATTGAAGTAAATAGAGCTTCATGAATGGAGGATAAAGCACAGGGATGACCTAAACAGTGAAGTCAGGACATTGTATAGTGTCTGGATTAGTAACCTGTGTACTTAGCTGTTTACCTGCACTCACACCTTTATTAGGAAATTTTGGCTGTAGATTATAAGAGCCTGCAAAGTACACCATGTATAACAATAGTATCAAGAGATCAGCATTGTATTTCAATGAATGCAACCACGTGGATTATTTTACTCAATCCTCTCTGCTGATAGAGCAAAAGTAAATATAAGTTGGTGCCACATGGAACAAAACGTGCTTTGTGTGAGGTGCCTGCAGCTACAACAACACACCTGAGTCACAGCTACTGAATTCTCATGGGTTAACCATTGATGTATAAAACCAACAGGTAGTATTTGTTTCAGTTACAATATTGTCACTTCAGGTTTAAGTTCAGGTTGGGTTTTGGTATTTAAATAAAACCTTTGAAGATTTCTTTCATGTAGTACCTTGCAGCAATGGAGAGATTTAGGAACATGCACTGGATAACTGATTGCATATGAAAGGGCTTTCCTCTAAGGTCTAAATCTTTAGTTCTGAACAGTGACATTCCTCCTATTATGGCCAGTATGCTTGTTACACTCTAAAGCTGAGTATACATGGTTGGAATTTCATTTTCTAATAGATAATAGGGGTCAAATGGATGATTATAGTTGACCATAGAGAAGAAATTTTTTTAAAGAACAGGATGGAAATTATTTCTCAAATGAAATACATTTTCCCCATGAAGCCTAACACTCCTCATGTGTCCAGCTTCAAGCTGCTCACAAAGCCAGAATACTCTCTTTTGTGGGCAACACCCACCTGTCTTCAATCAGTTTTACACCATTTAAGGTCCCTATCTTTACACAGTGACAGACCATGCACATTATATATAACCAATGTGACCCAGTATAATTCAGCAAACAGAGCAGTTTATCTGTTATAAAATACAAAGCAAATTGGATTACTACCACTGTAATGATAACAGTGTTTTTTTCTCAGACATTTTAGTGACTTATTGATATGTATTCATAATTTTTTTGTTTATGAAACACAGGTTTTATTATTTCTAACAATCTCACTGAACCAACAGAGGGCAACATTTAGCTATGAAACAATCACTGCAAAGTAAACTTTATGATAAGATTGGATCT